GTCTCCCCGCCGCGGCCTCCGGTCCTCTCGGCTTTGCCGCTGCCCGGGGTTTGCGGGCCGCTCCTCAGAGCGGGGGTGGGGACCCCCCGCAGGGGGTGGTCGGCCTTCCCCGGCCTTGCCCGGCCTGCCTCACCTCGGGCACAGGTTGTTTTTCCGGGAGAATTTACTGGTAATTTTATTTTGTTCCGGGCTGGGTTCCTGAGGGGGGCCGGGTGTCAGATTGGAGCTGAAAGCAGCTTTATGGAAAAAGGGCAAGGCAGCCACCAGCGCTTCTGGCCGAGGCAGGTGCAATAGGCACAGGCCATACTTGCATCCAGAGCTAAAGTGGTGTCTGTTGTGTTCACTGGAAGTTTTGTGGTTATTTTTTGTGTTCACAGTTAGTGTTTTGGGTATTATACTGAAGCCGAAGCAGCAAAACCGCACATAATACACAAATAACACAAATTGAGGTTGATCATGAAGACCTTTTGTGGAAGAGCTAATCCAACCACTGGTGTGATGGAGTGGGTAGAAGAGGATGAGAGCTACGACTACCATCAGGAAATTGCAAGGTATGCTGGAAAAAATAGCTTGTTGTTCCACTAAAGCTACAAAAAAGAGCAAACCCAGCTTGGTTTTGTGACAATTTGGGGTTTATTTCTGTAGAAGTTCTAAGGGTATGAGATGAACAGACTGTAGGACAGTGTTGCATGTTACAGTGCCCTGTGTTGTACAGGGCAGAACTGTAAATGTAGTGTTTTGCCAAATGTTCTCCAAGTAGTTTCCTTCTAAATTTTTTAAAACATATTCTGAGGTGCTGATCTTAATGCTGACAGCGACCGAGTTGTGGCAAAATGCATTGACTAAACTGCTTTGAAATCCCCAGTGCAACAAATGATTGCCAGTCTGTTCCTGTAGTAACTTTGTAAGAGCTTAATGTGACCGCCAGAGAAGTTGGGAAGGTTCAGTTTGGAGGTATGTTTAAGTAGTGTGACTCATGAAGAAATAGGGACCAAAGAAGTTTAAATCTTGGCAGCAAAGAGTAGAGCATTGTCAGGCTGTCTTTTGTTGTTATATATTGCTCTGTATGAACCTCCACCTGTCCTGGCTGCTGTTCCACAGCTTTTTGTCCATAGGTCTATGTATTGGGTCCAATGCTGATGAGATGATAAGTGCCAGCAGTTAATTAGTTCATTTATATGCTGATGACCAGCTAACTGAAATGACATTATTCCTGAGATTTGGGAAATGGTTCAGCTCCTCAAAGAGCGTGTCAGTTAGCTGTGCGTTCTTTGGCCATGAGGACCAGTTGCCTTAGTAAGAGAAAACAAAGGAGGCTATATAAGATCTAGCAGTTTTGTTGTGCTTGCAGTATGTAGTATTTTGACTGGAATTTTTTTTATTGTAGGTCACGCTATGCAGATATGCTTCACGATAAAGACAGAGTAAGCATGGAAGAAAAAAAAGTCTTGAATGGTGGAAAAATGCCCATTTCCTTTCCCTTGAATAGCTGTCACTGCATGATTATACAGGTTTTTCTGAAAGAGAAAATGATCAAATTTGTACCCTGTAAGATTCCAGATCTGCTTATAGATCAACAGATGCCTTCTCACATCTGACACTAGTGTTCTGCTGTTTACTGCAGAACATATTTACGTTCAGTAGCTGATTTTGCTGTTCTGTCTTTGACGTTTTTGACAGAGAACTCATTAGATGAAATTTCAAAGGCTGTGAATGTGAATCTAGGCTTCTTAGTTTTTACAGGAATGTAGATAAAAGTCTATTCTTTCATGGTATTTTTAGCTCTTACTGTTTAGGATTGAGAAGAAAATTGAGATACCATATCTACAGGTATGATAAAGTCTGGATTGAATGGTTTAAATATTCTTGGTGCTCTAGTCGTTTAGTCAACCATTTCATCAATAACCTTTTTGAAGACTTCTGTGGTGCCTGTACTATGAGTCTTGAATTCACGTTGAATTGAAACATGCCGGGGGGAGCAGGCATTTAACAAGCCATGTAGAGACACCAAGTTGTGTCTAAGTAATTAAAACAAGTCTACTGGAATTATATCAAAAGTGTTAACTAGAATTATTTGGAAAGGGATCCAGCAGACCTTCTGAATTTATGATGTCCAAAGATAGTGTATTATTTGGAAAGGCTTGATAAATCGTTTGGAAAGGAGTGTCTTACAATAGATTGTTATGGAGTAAATATAACATGTTTCGATATGTATATTGTAGCTGACAGAAGAGAGGATTTGATTTTTTCTCTGTTGTTATTGCTGGTGTGCATGTAGCCCCAATAATGGCACATAACCAAAAGCCTGTATTTAATCATAGAATCATAGAATCATAGAAATTTTGGGGTTGGAAGGGACCCCTAGAGGTCATCTAGTCCACCCCCCCCGCAGCGAGCAGGGACACCACTAACTGGATCAGGTTGCTCAGAGCCCTGTCCAACCTGGTCTTGAATGTTTCCAGGCATGGGGCCTCCACTACCTCTCTGGGCAACCCGTTCCAGTGTTTCACAACCCTCATTGTAAAGAATTTCTTCCTTATATCCAGCCTAAACCTACCCTGTTTTAGTTTAAAACCATTACCCCTCGTCCTGTCACTGCTGTCTCTACTAAACAGATTTACACGTGTTGCGTCTCATGTATAGATGTTTTCCAGTAGATGCAGAGAGGAATTTAAATCCAAGATACTTCAGCTCTTGTGCTGTCATAGGCATTGTATGACTGTTTGAGTGGTGCTGCAGAGGAAATATAATAAGAAAACCAGTAGTATCTCACATGGATCTTCCTATTATTTTCATATCTAGAAGATATATTGCTTTTGTAAATTATGCACACGCTATAAATAGCTGATTGATGAATGATGAGAGAATAGTGTGATAAAAATTGATGTGCTTTGAATGGACTGATCCCTCCAAAACCACTTGCTTTTGCTGAAGGTGGCTTTGGTATGACTAGTATAAAGAATGACTGTAGGCTTTTTTCTAATTATAGACTCATAGGCTGAGAATGCAAGACTTCTGCACAAAAGTTAAAGGTATAAATAGATAAGAAGTCACTGGTATTATTTTTTTTTTTCCCCTCCCCCACTCCACAGAACACAAAGTATTACCAAGGTATTCGTGCTGCAGTGAGCAGAATAAAAGAAAGAGGTGAGAAAGCAATTGTTCTAGACATAGGGACTGGCACGGGACTCCTGTCTATGATGGCAGCTTCAGCAGGTGCGGATTTCTGCTATGCAGTTGAGGTGAGCAGTCGTTACTGGTTGCACATGCTTTTGCGTACGAAGTAAAATTTTATAGTGTTCTGTCTTCTCTACTTACCAAAACACAAGTGTAATATGGAAAACTTGATTGACGCTTTTGAAAAATGTGAGCATTCTCAAACTGTTGCGGATCTTCATAAGTTTCAGCTCTTGGAGATGGGTTCTCACACCCACTTAATTATAACATGGACCCCAACTTAACAGAGAGACTGTCTCATAAACTTATTTTTCCATCTATTTGTGATTAGATAGAGCATCACCTGTTTTATTGGCAGTTAAGAAACATACTGATGATCATTAGTAGGCATTACTTATATTAAGGATAACAACAGGAACATTTTGGCCAGTTTAAATTTTTGTTTTTTACACATTTAGGAAATAAGAGAGGACTCACTTGTCTGTAGGTCATAGTTGAAAGGGTGTGCTGTGATTTTTATCCACATAAAAATCTACCTTTTTTATCTAGGATTTTATCCTATGATCGTTTTTCAGGGACAGTTATCTTTCATATAGGCGCAGAAAGCAATGTACTCTAGAATAAATCTGTTCACAGCCAATCGTAGGGAAGAGACAGTATCAGAAGCAATGTGGTGGGAGGGGTCTTTTGTCTTCTGCTTAATAGTTTACTGACCACTCTGGCAGAGGAGGATCAGTAGCTTGTGGGAGGAAAGGCATCACAGAATCCCAGCATGGCAGGGGCTGGAAGGGACCTCTGGGGATCACCCAGTCCAACACCCTGCCAAAGCAGGGTCACCCAGAGCAGACTGCACAGGACCGTGTCCAGATGGGGTTTGAGTATCTCCAGAGGAGACTCCCCAGCCCCTCTGGGCAGTGAACAAGCCCAGCTCCCTCAGCCTCTCCTCGTAGGAGAGATGCTCCAGTCCCCTCCTCATCCTCGTAGCCCTCCGCTGGACTCTCTCCAGTAGCTCCTCATCTTTCTTGAACTGGGGAGCCCAGAACTGGACACAGCACTGCAGAGGGGGCCTCACCAGGGCAGAGTAGAGGGGGAGGAGAACCTCCCTCAACCTGCTGGCCACGCTCCTCTTGATGCACCCCAGAATGCCATTGGCCTTCTTGGCAGCCAGGGCACACTGCTGGCTCATGGTTAACCTGTCGTCCACCAGGACACCCAGGTCCCTCTCCACAGAGCTGGTCTCCAGTATGGAAGCCCATGATGGAAGATAAAAGCCCAGTCTGAAAAGTCTGAGAACTACTGGTATAGGTGTTCTAGTAGCAATACATTATTCCAGTTCTGGAACTTGGGTGAGGTTCCAAAGCAGCCACAAATTACTTAAGTAGTCAGATTGTGTGGCTGAGTAGAATATTTCAAATTTTTGAGTTTAGAAACTGGATATGGATGTTAAGCCCTTTCAGCACATTCTTCATCATTCTGCTGTTTTCAAGCTATATACTTTCTCTGTTCTTCTCTTTGTTCTAAATGAAATAAAAATTCTCTTCACAGTTACACTGTTAATAAAGCAGATTGTTTGCTTACTTAAGTGAGCATTTCAGCGCTGGTTGTTTTGGGTTCTTTTTTTTTTTGTTTAATAGCTTTAGCACATGGAGCCTCTCTTGCTATATATATTCCTAATATGTATTCTTGGCTTTTGAAAGTTAAATTGGAGTAGCTTTTGGAGACGGCTGGTAATTTGTAACAGTGATACTGGAGCTCTGTGAGCTTTTGAAGTGAGGCTTGCTGTCCTGTTTCATGGTAATCAACTTCAAACATAGGAGAAGATACAGAGGATGTTAAAATTTTTGCAGGACTAAATGTGCTGTTTTGTGTTGATGTCTTTTCATTTTTGAAAGCTAATGTTAGTGTGCTACTTTGTTATGCTCTTGCTATTTACAGGTTTTCAAACCCATGGCTAATGCGGCTGTGAAGATAGTGGAGAAAAATGGTTTTCATGACAAGATCAAGGTAATCAACAAGCACTCCACTGAAGTCACAGTTGGCCCAGGTGAGAAAAATAGGCTAGGATTAAAAAAATTGGCAAGTACCTCAAAACCATGAAGGAATATGTCTTTTCCTTATTTTCCAAACATTTTTAAT